ACCGATCTCCGAAGTAGTAGCCTTTTTACCAGACACGATACGAGAGGCGTCGGGGAAAGGCTGATCGGGAGAGAGCTCGAACCTTGGTGCCGACTCTTCAGGGCGGAGCTCTTCTTGACGGCTATCTTCTCTCGGAATACCAACAGAGGGCGACAAGGTCGTCTCCCCCGCACCTTCCGAAGTTGAGGGGTTCGAAGGCGACTCTCGTCCCGTGACTCCGCCGAGGGACGATGCCTGACGGGTTGCTTCGCTGTGGGTAGCATCAACCAAATCCTGTAGGGCGGTAACACGGGCTTCACCGGAGCTGACCCTATCTAACGCCTCCAATTCTTGATGTTCGAGATTCTCGATGACTTCCTCATTCTCCGCGGTACCGTTGTCCACAATATTATTAAGAGCCTCCCTTATATCACGCAGAGATCGCCGAGCCCGTGCTAGTTCTCGTCGAGCCGAACGAAGCTCGTTAACCGGGAGCGGGGAAGAGTCAGCTGCTCGAGGCGGAGTGTGGACGCTAAGGGAGGATCCCTCAGGTGTCGCCATGATAGGATTAACGAGGGTTATCGAAACACAACTCGAACTTGAGCCAAGATGGCTACGGACTTCTCGACACTTGGCAAGAACAGATTGCACCGAACTCGCATGTTCGGTTCTAGCTAAAGCATCCGTACGTACGCACAAGCCCGTGACAATACCGGTGTCACGCAGGCTGTCCAAAGTCTACCATACTATAAACTTGAAAGTTATAAACTTAAAACGATAATACTCGGTGAAAGAGAGCAAAGCTCATAACACCGATCTATGTTCACAGGCCCAGAAATCCAGAGTCTCGATCTCACCGGGCTCATCATCCCATTCAACGTCAACCCGACCTGAGGCACGCATATCACGCACTGTACCCTTGAACCATCGGCGCACAGGTCGTCGCCGTTGAGGATAAACTACATCATACAGGATTCTAAATCTCATATCAATCAAACTGGGCAGCTCATAAGTAATCGGATCAGACGATGATGAGTCAGTCCCATCATTGACATCCCCATCCCGTACTCTCCCTCCTCGGTACGCATCTATAGAAGACCTGGTTATATTTGTTGACGTTAGTGAGTCAGCCATAGCGGAAGACGAAAGGTCGCGTGTTAATGACGAACGCCTTCTATCAAGGATATCTACCCACAGTAGTGGCTCAATTCCCAGAGGGGAATTGGAGTCAGTCCGTATGGATGTTCCAGTAATGGTTACTCTCATCACCACTTTCCAATCAAAAATATCGAGAATGACTATTGTCAATGATTACGTTTGGCACTTCGACACCCAACCAGCAGTCGATTGGAGAAGCTTTCACCTCCGGAGAGGGGAAGATTGAGCCATATACGTTCTGTGATGAAGGAGATTCATTCAGCCAAGGTAATGCCTGATATCAAATTCAGAGACATTCCCTCACTTGATGTTGCTGTCAGCAGTCGGACAGCAACTTGCTGACCGACTCACACGCCATTGTGGTGCTTGCGAGCCAATGACTCGGTCTTGGAATTTGGTTAACAACGCCTTGGTTGAAGCTTGTATTGTTAACTTCAGTTCCGATGACATTAACCTCACCGACGATAATGTGGAAGTCGACGATCTCTCCAATGTCGATGGTGTTATTGGAGGATCAGAGTGTGGAGATGCTGATCCGTCGTGTGAGGAAATATTGGACACAAGTGTCTTCTGTAATTTTAGATTCTTGTGATACTAGTCTCCCTTGCTAGGCTAGCGTAAAATTTATGATTACTGTATTGATCCCCTTGGGAGACTGTGTCAGCAGATCTTGCGGGTCCATTTACGGCAGACAGCTTTAATTGTATTTATTGTCTGATATTATGTGATCACTTTCCTCGTTTCTGTTTGTTACGTCCCCTTCGATCAGCCACGAGTAGAGAGGTTATAAGAGTTATTACCGAGATTTGTGATACTTTTGGTAGTATGCGTGTTTTACGATGTGATCGAGGAACTTGCTTTGCATCGCGGATGACGCAGTCCAGTCTACAAGCTTTGGGAATACATGTTCGATTGATAGTTCCTCGAGCTCCACGGTGTAATGGTTTGGTTGAGCGATGAGTACAAGAACTGAAGGTGTGTTTACGAGGTTATGGATTGTCTAAGTCTCGCTCATGGAGTACTAAATTGGCTAGTGCTACCAAGAGGATGAATAGTGTTATCTTACCTGATCTTGGTATTACACCATTTGACACTATGTTTAATCGGTCTATGTACCTGGGATCTGTGGTTCCCCCTGTTAAATCCAATTCGAATGTCGATGATGCTGAGCAAGAGTTGCCTACCTCGGATGAGCTGAAGTCTAAAGAGGAAGGTGTGTTATTGCAGCGTGATTGGATCGGTCAAGTTAGAGATGATCGAGAACAATCGGTAGGAGATCAGAGGCTACCCCGAGCTCTATCTATAGGTCAAAAGGTGCTTGTTAAGATAACTGATGGTTGGAGAGAACCGTGGAAAGTTTTAATTGTTCACAACGATAATGCTCGTCTTACTATCGTTGATAAATTTGGCGTTGAACGAGATGAACATCGTGCCAATCTAATAGTTTATTATGGGACGTCCGAAGTCCAAGCTTTTTGATTAGTTTATTACCTTTGGTTGCGGGTAGCAACCAGGGGGAGATGTGAGGAAACATTGTACACAAGTGTCTCCTGTAATTTTAGATTCTTGTGATACTAGTCTCCCTTGCTAGCCTAGCGTATACTTTATGATTACTGTATTGATGATTAGTTAAGAACCACTTGTTTATAACTCTTGTTGAGTTATCTAATCCTAACACGTCGTGTTGTGCCGATACGAGTGATACTTATGTTTCTTGGATGGAGCAATTTCTACCACTTGTTAAAGTGTCTCAAGCTGCAACTCCACATATGTGGACGTGCTAGCCAAGTTGAGAGCTAATCCTGCTTGTTCGCAGTCTAGATTATCCCCTATCGATGAAGAATCCGGTTTGCTAATGAGTCGCCGTTGGAACGCTGCCAGTGATGATTCTTGGTTATGATTATTCCTGACGGTGCTTTACAAGACGAAGTTATAGACAAGTTCCATCATGATTATGGTCATCCTGGCATAACTAAAACTGTCGGATTATCGCGTGCCGTATGCGACTTCAAGGGTTTGTACCGTAAGGTCAAGCACTGGGTCACCTCTTACGTGATATGTTCACAATCCAAATACGGCCGTACTCTGACCAAGGCCATAGCGACTACTAAGTATGAGTGCCGTTATTATAGGGCGTGGTTGGTGCAGATTCATGTGGTCCTATTAAAGAATCTAATTGGAAGAAGTATTGGGTACTACTCTTAGTTTGTTATATAAGCAAGTTTATGGCAGCGACTGTTATTGAGTCTCCTGGAGTAGTCGATGTAGTGTGCGCCACCACTGAACTCCTTGACGCTAACGGTTACCCCAGAGTTATAGTGAGTGATCGAGATGGTTGTTTTATGAGCACTAACTTCAAGCAGTTCATACTCTATGTAGCTTTGAGGACTACAGAATTAACGGTGTTATCCATGGGTTGGGTAGGTCCTATGGGTCGCCAGAGCTTGCTTTAGTCGGCGTCGCTTGTGACACCAAGTTCCCGTCGGGAACTTCCCGAAGAGCACTAAGTTCATACTCTATGTAGCTTTGAGGACTATGTAGCTAGGAATGGGCGTCCCTGAAAGAGCGCGCCCAAACCTTTCACGCAATCACTCAGGTGCGACCTGCCCCACTGAATAGGGCTGCAAATGAAAAAGCTAAATTTAAATGAGCCGTGGAGACTGGCTGATTATTCGTATACACATAGATCTCTACGCTAATGGGTGCCCTCTCGAGTATGATTGAAACTGAAATTCTGTGACCAGAGATTGGTCTTGAAATGTTCGAACACGTGATGCTGCGTGATTGTAGCTAAATCTCTTAAGAGCAGTTTCATGGGAATTCGAAGGTTGACTCGGTGAATTGGGTTTCAAGGTCTTAGCTTTCAAGTGATACAACAAATGACAGGCATGATGCGCTCTGTGACGTCTTCGAACTCACGCCCTGGGGTGAGAAATATTAGATTTGGTACGCCTGGTCAAGCACGCCTCTGTCACTTATCGCCGATAAGTTATCGAGACCATGACACATCATGTTTACGTGTTGTAGATGGCTCGAGTTCAACATATAGCTAGGTCGTTATAAGTTACACTATCATTGAGCATATTGTCCAATAATCAGGATAATTTACCATTGGTAAAGTATGGACGGTGATACGCTACATCAACACCCTTGATCGACATAGTGTGAATCGCAATGTGCAATAAATCGTCGGGAGCACATCATCACTGGAGTCTCCAGTCTGGATATTCTCGAGGTGTCTGATCGTATAATATTCTTGACTGCGTCTACATTTCCACGGTTGAATCGAATCTCCTATCGTGGTTTTCGTCCAGATAGCTCGCGGAAACC